GCGCGACATGTTTTAAAAATTCTACATACACTTGTCTGGGCATGGTTCTCTATGTCATCCACAGTGGAGGAATGCTGATTGCAAACTTTTATGTTGGTCTGTTCATGCATGTTTTTCTCGTATTCCCGGACATCATCCATTGTCATATCTGAAAGAAGGTCGAGACGTCGGCAACTTCCGTTATTAAATGCAAACGTTCAATGGGGAGACTTTAGGGAAAGACGGGAGCTTAGCGGAAGCCAAGAGAGGTTTCAGAAGCAGGGACTCGCTAACTTTATAAAGAGCAAACCATAAAGTTAGCTAAACCAGCCAAAGGGGGGAGTAAGTCCGAGGAAGTGAAGTCAGAGGCAGTCTTAGGACAGAGAAGAGTGGAAATTATTTAGGGGGAACTCTTACAAAGTGAGCTAAGTGGGTGCAGGGTGAGCACGTGGGCAGCGCCATAGCCTGAGATCTCCTAAAGCAGAGTTAGAAGATCCCTGCAGGGACGGGCTCAGGTGCGCCTGGTTTAATACTTACCTTCCACATAGCTTCCAAATAGAGTCGTGATTTAAGTCAGTGCATTGGACGAGAGAAAGGACACTTTCATTGCTATTATGGGAGACATGACGTAGGAGGCAGAGGAATGGTGGTCAGGGGTACAGGTGAGATTGGGTACAATGCTCACACACAGGTGTGTTTCTGCAGAGGACACGTGGTGTCAGAGTGCAGGTCTAACAGCGTGAAGGTGGCTGGCACTACTCACACCCACACTAGTCTATAAATAAAATGGAACGTGACATTATGATTTTGGGTCCGAGCCCGCAGGTTTTCAGTATTTCAGGAAAACAATCTGTTAATCCGATGGTTCTCAACCGGGGGGTGGTTTCGTGACATTTTTGATGGTCACGACCGGGATGCTACCCTTCCTCCAACGAAGAATTACTACCTGGTCCCACTGTTCATGGTGCTGAGGTTGAGAAACACTGTCCTAATCCAACTGATAAAAAACGTAAACATAGAACCTGTCCAGTTTCAGTAAGTGCATAAAAATAACAATTAGCCTCACTTTAAATACTTTTATTTTATTGCCCACCCCCACCCTACTCCTTGGTTATTTTACTACATTTTATCAACAAGTGTCCCAGATGGGCATTCTTCTGTTGCTCTCTCGGCAGAATTTAACTTCATGCCTCTTTACCATAAAGGTATGCTGAGCGATCGGTTAATTGAACGCCCTGATCACTAATTACCTTGGGGGTTTAGAGCGGGTACTCACAGCTGGGATTGTTTCTTAGGTGTTTTCTGCATCGTGTGGTTTGGTGTCATTTTATATCAATCCACGTGTGTGTGCCATGTGAGATTCTCTTTATTTCCAAGGGCAGACTTGCCTGAAGTTTATAATTTAATTCAGCGTGGTCTGGGGCTAAGGTGGAGGGTGGCTCTAAACCTAGACCTGGGCTATGTTCTTTAGCGGATGATCCCTGCCACCCCCCCACGCCCAGAAACGGTCAGTCAAGAATGCTGTCCATAGCAATGTAAGTATCAAGAGTGCTAAGCAGCAGTCTGGCCAAGCAAAGAGCAAGCTTTTCTTTTAGAAAATTGAGGTGACTGGAAGCAATAAAGAGATGCTGCTTTGTGATTAGAACAAATGCACCTTAGTTAGCAATAACAACACATTCCTTCAATACAATCACATTAATTTCAATGGCTGTTTATCAAAGTTTCTTAAACACAAATATACCTGGAATGAATGCTGAGGTCATTTTAAGCTCAACGTTTAAAACTTAAAGAAATTTCTCTGTATTTATGTTCACTAGACACTTTCTCTCCTCCCGCTCACAAAGGCATTTTAGTTTCTTTGTTCTAGTAAATTCCAACACAAATCATTCTTTGGCTTTAATTAGCTCACTGTTAAGAGAGGGGCTTAAACTGTGTGACTATGTGCTTTCAAGGATATATCAATTTTATGGATGTGATGAAAGATTTAATAACAAAGATACTCATTACAGCCTTGTTCATAACAGTGAAAAATTGAAAACAACCCAGGGGGCTGATAGTACTATGCAAACACAAATACTGTAGAAAAATATTTAACACCATAGAGAAATGTCCTTGGTATATTGTTAAATAAAAAATAGGAGGTAAAAAATTATGCATATTATGTGAAATCATTTTTGTCAGGACAGCAGTATATACATTTAAAAAAGACAAAGTATATACATTTCAAAATGTTAACCGTGATTGTTTCGAGGGTTGGAATTATAGGTAATTAACATTTTCTTCATCCTGCTTATCAATATTCTCCACATTTTCTACATCAAATACACACTATTTGTGTACGAGAGGAAAAAAGACCATCATTAAAAATATATATATTATTTCTGGTCCTTAGGGGCTTGACTCAGTGGTTGAGTGTTGACCTAGGATCCAGGAGATTGCGGTTCGAGGCCCGGTCAGGGCACATGCCCGGGTTGGGGGCTCCATCCCCAGCAGGGGGCGTGCAGGAGGCAGCCGGTCAATGACTCTCATCATTGATGTTTCTCTCTCTCCCTTCCTCTCTAAAATTCAATAAAAAATCTTAAAAAAAAAAAAAAAGTGCACACTTCCAGTGAGGTGGTTCCCTAAAAGATGATGATAATTTGGTCCCTGCTGATGTGGAAGTGAAGGATGTTTGCCTAAATCCTGAGCTCCCTCCACACACCGCACATGCTTATGGAAACGAAGTAGACATTGTCAGTATTCCTTAGTAATTTATGGAAAGCCTAATCAAGTGAAAATGTATGTTCCTGCTCAGGTTATCTGGTAAAATGTATTATGTCTTGCTTCTGCAAAGTATATTACCTTGAAATCTATATGTGAATCAATTTTCTAGTAAATTCAATTACATGTGCCCAAGGACTGGTTATCCTCTCGGAGACGATTCATCTTCATTACCGATCGATTTTCAATGATCGGTGATGTCTAACCATTTAGGTTGGGATCTCTTTGTTTCCAGCAAGCGAATGCTTACATGTGTCAGAGCAACTCTTAATTAAAAGAAGCCTATGTCAATTATTTTGCAAGTAAACTGGAAAAAAAAAAAAAAATCACCCCTTAAATTTGTAGATTTAAAAGGTCGTAATTTACTTTTCTTAAATAAAGGTGTCTTGAACAAGTACTACTGGGCTAAGAGCCCAACTTAAGAGCATAGGAACTATCGCGGTATTTCTTCTAAGAAAGGCGCATCCTAGTATCTCTGACACTTGGCTGTCAGAGGCTGACGGACAGAAGCAGCACTGGGAAGTACTCTGGGGTACAGATGCCCCGTCATTGCATTTCAGTGGGGCAAGATTTCCTTTCTCTGCCCTCTTGTGAGGTCATTTCTTTCCTTCTCTTACCCTCCTTCAGGTGAGGGCAGAGCAGAGCCCGTCCCCTAGCCCACCCTGTGGAGGTCACACCCCAGGGGGCCTGAATAGGACCCCCTGTGCCAGGTGACTGGGCGGAGACTGGGCCCTCCTCCTCTACCATCAGCCCGGCTTCATCAAAGCAGCGCTGGGCCCCGGGGGTTTGTTAACTGGTGGATCTTCTTTGGTTTCCTAAACCATGAACTGAAGGCTCTCAGTAAGGGCAAAGTCTACCTCAGCTTTATGAGTCTTAGTGCACTTCGACCATTTTCTACTTTTCAAAAAATAAAATGTGGGTTCTAATTATTATCTAATGAATCGCTCAAGTAATGCATGAATTATATTTCACAGAAATAATTCAAGTAGTACTGGACTACAGAGAAAAGAGTTTAATTCCTTTTACCTCTCCCACAAATCTCATTCCTTTTGGAAACACAGGGTACCTACTATTAAAGAGTTTGAGGCACAGGTTGCCCGATTTGAAAAAAAAAATTCACATGTATGTTACTACACACACATGCACGGTCTCATTTATTTTCACACTTATGGAATCATAGTACAGCATACGATACTATACTACACTATACTATATACTATACTACAGGTTGATGGACAGAAGCGGCACTGGGAAGTATTCTGGGGTATAGATACCCCCTCATTGCATTTCAGCACGATTACTATACAAGTATACTATACTATACATTATACTATACTATACTATATTATATACTATACTGTACTATATATTATACTATATACTGTCCTATACATATTGCTCCAGCTTGCCTTTTCCACTAATGGAAAACACACACATTTCCATACCAGTCCCAAAGAACTGCCTCATTACTCTAAGCTGCTGGGCACAGTGTGGGTTCACAACTGACTCGAGCATATTCTTGTGAACGGACATTTACACTGAGCCTAATGTTTAGCTTTTATAAACAACACTGCACCGAACAGCTTTGCACCTATACTCATGAGCACGTGGGCCGCGCTCCTTAAGAAAGAACTTCTAGACGTGGAGTGGCTGGGTCATAGGTTATTTGTACTTACCATTTTCGTAAAAACTGTTAATTTGTTCTTCCACCTATCCAGAACGAAACATTGTCACTCCCTTAAATTTTCGCTATCGGACGGGCAAAGTCGTACCCTTCTGTTGTTTTCATTACATTTCTTGTGATTAGTAGTGAGGTTACTGGTCATTTGAGTTTCTCTTTCTACTGTTCCTGTACTTTACCTTTTTTCTACTGAGTTGTTGGTTTCTGATTTGTAGGACCTCTTTATATATTATAGATACTCGTCCTCTGTTAGCTGCATAGACTGCAAGTGCCTTCTCCTAGCCTTTCAACTTTGTTTATGGTGGCGATTTTCCTTCCGTCATTTTAGTGTTAAAGAAGGTGGGCCGATTTCACAGGAAGTGGAGGTAAGGTCATATATTTGAAAGGCCTTTAGGATAGGAGCCAGGTGAACACACAGAGAAACTACAAATGACAGGGAACAAAACGTCTGCAAGCAAGAATTTTCCTACATTGTACTGGACCATTGCAGCAATTAAAAATTTTTAAAGAGCCTGGCCGGGCGTGGCTCAGTGGTTAAGCGTCGACCTAGGATCCAGGCGATCAGGGTTCAATTCCCGGTGGGGGCAAATGCCCGGGGTTGCAGGCTGCAGCCGATCAATGACTCTCTCATCATTGATGTTTCTATCTCTCTCTCTCCCTCTCCTTTCCTCTCTCTGAAATCAATAAAGATATATTAAAAAAAAAAATTTTTTTTTAAAGAGTCTTACAACTCTAACTCAATAACCTGTCCAGTGACACATTGTGTTATATTTCCTTCTAGAAATATTTTCTCTCCACTTCCAGGCTTCTCAGCCTAAACAGAAGTCATTTTTTTCTTGCTTTAAATAAAACTGCAAGTCTTGAAACAACGGCTGGGTTGGGTTTGGGGTGGGGCACGAGGGGGGTGGCTCCAGTGATGGGGCACAAGGGGGGTGGCTCCAGTGATCATGAATTAGATTGGATGCTCCTTCGGCTCCACCAAAATGATGGCTGTCCTTTGGGAAGTACCTTATTTAAACCTTCAAACATGATTGTAAGTTCAATAGTTTGTTATAAATAGCTAAGGGTGGCTACACTTTTTTTGCAGTGTAAGTAGCCAATTCTCAAAGCTTGGTGCTTACCCTTTCATGTAATTCAGACCACTAACATCAGAATTATAATCTACAGTTGTGATTTTTTCCTACAGTTCTTAATTTGAGGAAGTGGAGGGCAGGTCACAGATCCCTTTGATAAGCGGATGGAAAGTTAAGGGTTCTCTCCCCAGGGAAACGAACATAAGCACGCACACATAAAATGTTGCGTAAGAGCCATGGCACTCAAGTTCATGTGAGGCCGTTGGAAAATGCTGGCCTGGTGAACCCAACCAGCTAACGCTCCCTAAGCATGCCTCTTTCTCTACCTGAGCTTGCTTCTCATTGTTGGGCTTGCTCTAGGGACTCCCGGATGATTTCTAAGCCATTGTCACAAGGTGGTTTCATCTATACCAGTCAGAACTACCACCCATATTTTTTTGGAAGGGTGAGGATTTCCAAGATGTTCCATGAGGGTTCACTCCATCACAGCCTCCCTCTGGCAATCCTGTGCTCCTCTCTCAAAATACTGCCAGACTGTGATGCAAAACCATGCTTTTGTGAAGCGGGGCTGCCTATTTTTATAGCCCACGCCCCCACCTTCTGAAATGTGTTGTTGTTGCTTCTCTGACTAGTGTTCTAGTCACGCAGGAGACACCCAAGGCTCATGGATAAAGCCCAATCAAGCTTTTGAAAGACAAACTCAGCTCCTCCAACAGTGGAAATGGTTCCATTTTACCATGAACATGAGCTGAATAACATCTGTTTCGGGAAATAGTTAAAAGCTGAGACTTGGAAAAGATACAAAATTAAAATCCTTGGGCAAGAAAAGATCACCATCGTCTGTGATGTCCCCCCCTTTTCTTTTTTGACTCTTAATTAAGCACCGGAGGCGGTGAGTCTAACTAGGGAGAAAGACACCCGCGGATGCCATTGCATTAGGGCGTACAGTTTGTGCGCAGTACGAACACTCAGCCCAGGAGGTGAATGGAGCTAAAATTCGGCCCCAAGCTGACGGCACCTGCTGAATCTGCCTTAAGGGGGACGCCCTTTTCTAATTCTCACAAGGCACCAGTTTGGCAGTTGGCCCTGAGGACACCTACCATTCTTCAGTCTAGCCTGTTTGCTCTGAATTAAACTGTCCTTCCTGGAGATCTAATCTGGTTTGCAGTCCACATTATGCGCCGGGTGTTCTTAAACTTTATCGAACATCAGAATCATCTGCAGGGCTTATTAACACACGGATTGCTGGCCTATACCCCAGTGTACCTGATTCTGCAGGTTTGGGGCGGGGCCTGAGAATCTGAATTTCTAACAAGTGACCAGGGGATGCTGATGTTGCTGGTCCAGGGACTTCACTTTGAGAAACCAGGCTATAAGCTACAGGCAAGAGTTGCTTTTTATTTGTTTGTTTTTACTTTGGACCTTTTCCATGTTCACTAACGACAGCCTCCCTGAGGCTATATAGACCAAAGGAAAACAAGCAACTTCAGGTACCCAAAACTAAAGTGCTACCCTGGCAGACATTTGGCTTCTGTACCAGGGATGCACCCATTTACCCGAAAGGTCCCCCAGCGTTACCCTGAATAAGGGGCTAAGAAGACGCTCTGCGGGCAGGGCCGTTTCCATCCATTTGAATCGAGCGTCTGCGTCTGGGTAATGAAGGAGCCACTGTTTTGCCCGCAAGCAGCTCAGCCCGGGGGTGATGCCAGCAGTAACTTACATGATGGGTGGGGTGGTTCTCAGACCCCTTGGTGAGTGAAAAGGCGGCTTGTTTTGGTTGGGGCTAGGACTGTGGATACAGGGGGTGGAGGCCTTCTCCGGGGAGCACAAGGCGCCCTGGCGGTCTACATCCACTAAACCACATGCTGTTTTCTGCATTCAGATTCAGAAAAGGCTTTTTGTCAGCCGGCTCCTCGAGTTCTGTCTCCACCTAACCCATCTAAAGTAAACAGGTAGGTGTTCTCTGTGAGGTCTCTAGGACCGGAGACATCCCATTTCCTTTGATGCATTACTCTAGCGCTGGGCCCCTGTAATAGTCTGAGATTTTTCTCTTCTTTTTTTTTATATTAAAAGTAAAGTCTCTCCCTTTACCTCAGGCTTGGCTTAACAAGCCGGTCCCCACCCTCCATACTCCAGGAGGCCGCTTACCAGAAGCCCACCCACAATTTTTTCTCCTTCTATAGCCTGTCTCTACTCACACCCTCTTTCCTGATGGACAAGCTTGCAGTGTTCTGTCCTCTGAACCAGGACCCTGCTACCCTGTGTGATGCTGTGTTTCCTTAAAAGTCCGCTCTGGCATCCTGGCACTGGAGAGAAGTCTATTAATGTGCCCCGTGTCTTCTCGGTCCTCAAGGTAGCAGATGTTTGGCCCTTCAGGTCCCCCTTCACTTGCTAAGCTTCTAATCAGTTTGAGCCTATTATTTTTTGAATATCCTTTTGATCCCCGCTTAATGTGGGTTGTAAGGAAACATGAGCTTGGAGGAATCCAAGTTGGGCGGACCAGTTCTTTTTTAACTTTTGCTGGGGTCTGTGCTCCAAGAATCTGAGAAAAGTTCCCCAGAAAAATACAACCAAAAAGACTGGTTTAATGACCAGGGGAAGTAGTAACAGGAGCCTTTCCCTCTGCCTGCCTCACAAGAAACAATCACAGATAGGTCTTAGGGAGACACCGTGACCATGTGCTGAGCCAGATGAGCAGCATCCTGGGAGGGGGGTGTTAAGGGAGGTGGTGATCTTTCAAAAGAGTCTCTTCTACGAAGATGCAGAGCTGGGAAAAACTGCAAAAAATAAAAAGCCCGAGGCCTACAGAACCATGTTTCTAAATAAATAAATAAATAAAATGTGGCTTAGCAACAGCTAACAACATTACTGACAATCACTGTCTTTTGCCCATTCAGTCCAACCTGTCCTGTCACTTAAAATTTGATAATTTCTGTTCTGAAGAGGAAGGGAACTGGTGGAACAATGACAGAAAAGCACCAGAATGCAATCGTGCTCACACTCAGAACAAATTCAGTGTGACTTAGGGTAAGGCCAGGGAGAAGGGCACCTCCTTGGATAATCAGATCTAACCCAAGCCACCAGCTGGGCGAGTTTGTTTCTATTTATAGTCAAGGACACTAGCGTCTGACCACTGATCCTGGGACTGCTGAGGGTTCCCGTGGACAAAACGATAGTGCTGAGGAACTGGGAAGGGTGGTCCATCCACTGTGGGATGAGGCAAATGTTTTCATTTACTGGAAATGTGCAGAACTTCAATAGTTTTGGGGGCACCCAGACCTCTGCCCTGGAATTCTCACCGAATCCTTGTTTTGGGTGAGGGAGTGAATCAAAGGATGGCTTTCACTCGGTATGACGCTGGAGACGGCTTTGATCTTGAAGTCTGGCATAAATTAGGATGAGACTGAAACCCACCCAACGGCGTATGATGGAGTCCTGTATGCACGTCAAGTAAGCAAGCATCAAACACACTGAGGCCCTATTTCCTCGAGAGCTAAGGACTGTCGTTCTTTCAGATCAAGCTTCTATCATTACACTTTCCCTCATTATGTTCCGTGAGCTGTGCTATTTCCAGTCCAGGAAGCAGGAGCCCTGCCTTTGTTGTCGTCTCTCTAGGTAGCGTCTGAAGCCAGATGGACTGCAAGCCCAAGTCAACACATTATGAAACTGTCCTACGGGTTATTCGGGGAAGTAGACTTACCATACCACTCATCAACCCACGCAAAAGCCTGTCTGTGTCCAATCAGCAGAATGTCTCGGACCACCTGGAAGAGTAAAAGGAGGTAGAAATAATAACACGTTGGATGAAAACTACCTGGAAAATAGATTGTTCCCAGTTCTAGGAATCCTGGCAATGGGAAATTTCTCCATCCCTCCGTCCCTAAGGGGTGACAATTGTAGCTGACGTGCACAGATATTGTACTTGCTCACCCTCAGCCCTTCCCATGTCCTTGGTGTAAATTAATGTCCCTCTTACGTGGAAGTCGGGCTGGAGGTGTGTACACACCAATGAGAACAACTTGGCAGTCACACGGCAAGGACTGCAATGACACTCCAGACTAATCACCTTGAGGTTTTTCTCTCTGTTTATCTTTACCTAAAACAAGCTCTACCTTTCATGTGCAGAAGGGTGTGTCTTGCTGGCGCCAGGAGGTCATACACGTTAGAAATCAAGAGCTTTTCTGGGCAGCAAGTAACTTATAAGAGCACTCAACACTCTTTCTTCTCTTATGAAATATCTTAAATCTTGGTTAATTTTCTTTAAATAAGTGAAGGTGTGGGACACAAGATGAGTAAATGTCTTTCTAGGTTTGACTTTCATGTAATACAAGGGGGGTGGGGTGGGAAGCAAGTGTAGGCAACTATCATCGAAAGAGATGAAATGAGAGAGCTGAACTAGAACAGAACGTAATGACAATGATAAGCCTGACTGGAGACAAAAGGAATGACACTGTTTCTGATGGTGACACGTAATGGCAACAGTAGATGAAGAAAAATAATAGATACATAGTTTGCCTGCATGCAGCCTGTCCATGTGCTTTTATTTCACCGTATTCTTTTTTTGTCCCCCATAAATACGCCTTTTTATGTTTATTGGACACTCACGCTCTCCTTCCAACATCCCTTTCTTACTGCCCAACAAATCCAGCAATTGTCAAAAAACCTCTCTCGTGGAAGGTTCGAGCACGTTTCAGTAAGTGAAGGATTTTAATTTTGGTGAATTTGCAGAAACAAGGGAAGCATTTATAACAAAGTGTTTATTATTCCAGCCTCTGCCTATCTAGTGAGGCTTAAGGAGGAAACATATCATGAAAGTAAGAAACACAAAGCCGAACACACTTGAGTGCCGAGTGTGTCGAATTCATGGAAATCAAAAGAACAGCATCGAGGCATCGGTAAATAGACCCTGTTACGTTAAGCACAACACAGCTGTCTGCTTGGAAACAGGAACTCAAGGATGTGCTAATAACTCGCTTTCAAACGTTCCTTCCCCTCAACTGTGAAAGGATTCTTAAAAAACAAAAGTGTTGAAAGGCCCCCATGCCAACGCTGGCCTCAGACACTCATTAGCGACGCCCGCGCCAGGGCAGGTGTGTTCGGGGGCGCCGATGACACTTCATTCTATTTGGAAACGGGCAACGGCGATGCCTACGCGAGAGTGTGATTCTTACAGGTGTTTTAAAGAAATAGGTCCTCAAAACTAGTCAGAATCACCTGGGAGAAAAGAAACACAAGGAGCCCTGTGGCAATCTAAATATGCTCTGTGAGAGGAGGGAATAATAAAATGCACTATGGTAGTGGCCTTAGGAAAAGATCATTTTCGGCGGGGGGGGGGAAGAAGGGGGGATGTTGTACGAAGTCAAGGAAGTTACAGCCTGAGGGACAGACACAGAGCTGAGGCTGCAAAATATTTACTCAGAACCCTGACTGTCTTCCTGCTTAATAACTGGGACACAGCTGGACAGCAGGAGGTCCCGGAACTTGAGTTCTAGGTGTTTCGCTCGGCTCCCACCTCTGGTTGGGCAGAGTGAATTCTGGGGCTCAGCAGATCGGCATACTTCTCTGTCTCAAATTTGTTCCAGAGTCTGCTATTATCATGAACCCAAGGTCAGTCTACTCCTTGGAAGTATATTCAAGATTTAAACATTTTTATTGTCCATTGGACCCCCTATTTTATTGTCAATTGTCCCCCGTAGACAAATCCATCTAAGTAACAAAAAGCTCAGCACATTAAGGTTAAATTCCAACGCCTCCAAAAGAATTCGAGAAAGCTATTTTTTTAAATCAGCTTTTAAGTGGAAAAATAAACAGATATCCAGCCTATCTGGAATGCGGAGACAACGTGGGCAGTATTTATTTTTATGGAAATGGAAGGAGTTACAAAGGCCAATGCTCAACACGCATTTCCTATTTTTCCCCCCCATAAGGGCAGGGGTCATGTTAGAAACCCCTAACAAACCTAAATCATTAGCAAGGGAATTCCTGCAATAAAGTTAATGAGCTTAGCCAAAGTGGGCACAGAATTGAAATCTGTGTTTTGAGGTTGTTCACAATTCTTTGTTGACAGAATTATTACATGAGCAGAAATTCTGCGGTGCACCATCTAATGGGACTCCTGGGATTTCTTGTTCTGTCTCTTGGGGTGTCCTCTACCTTAGGGGGTCTACATTTGAGGACCTTTAAGGTGATAATTATCCTTGGGGACTGCACGCGCAGGTAAACCCTGTGCCTCTGCCTGGCACCCAAGTACCAAGTACAAGCACCCATGCCTGGAACATCTAGCCCAATGCCAAAGGGAGGTGTATGTTTGTTTGTTTTTAATTTTATTTTTCAATTAAAGTTTGCATTCAACATTATTCTGTACTAGTTTCAGATGTAAAGCATGGTGATTAGGCAATCACACACTTTATAAAGTGTTCTCCCTGATATTTCCAGTACCCACTTGGCACCATCCATCATTACAATATCATTAACTACATTCCCTAGGCTGTGCTTTCATCCCACGACTGTTTTGTAACCACCAAGCTGTACTCCTCAATCCCCTTCACCCAGCTCCCCAACCATCAGCCTGATCTCTGCGTCTGTGAGTCTGTTTCTATTTTGTTCACTGATTTATTTTGTTCTTTAGATTCCACATATAAGTGAAATCATATGGTATTTGTCTTTCTCTCTCTGGCTTATTTTGCTTTAGTGTAATACCCTCTCGGTCCATCCATGTGGCTGCAAATGGTAAGATTTTACTCCTTTTTTTACGGCTGAATAATATTCCATGGTTTATGTCTGTGCCACAGCTTTAGTGCCCACTTGTCTACTGATGGGCACTTGGGTTGCTTCCACATGGGGGAAGTATGCTTTGAACACCCAGCTTCCTGAATATACACGCACAACAGACATGGAGGTACAGAGTAGGAGATGATGTAAAACATCTATCATGGAAGAAAATTAAACCTGTCTGTAAAATGCATTTTCATGAAAATAGGGTTGTCCAGATGTAGTTAGCTGGTGTTGGCTCGGCACCTGTGCATCATTTACTCCAGCTCACCATAGAGGTAGCTACATTGTCTGCAGCTCGGGAACTGCTCTTTTGTTCACTTACCTTGTGTACAAATTGTTCCACTCTGGTCTGAAGCCCCCAGACCTCGAACTTCACAGTCACCAGCTTGTAGGAACACATGATGGGCTGATGACTGTCTCTCCAGCCTTCCCGTAACTGTCCCCGTCCTGTCTTCTCCGACTTGAAGTGTTTAGGGTCCTAGAAACAATATACCAAAGAAATGGTAACTTAAAAGGTTAACCATCATTTATATGAAAGGCCACACCGTGTAATTCCATTTACATGAAATATCCAGAATAGGCAAATCTATGGAGAGAGGAAGTAGATTAGTGGCCTAAGGCTAAGGGACGGGCATGGTATAGGGAATAACTGCTAAGGGAACAAAGTTTCTTCTGGGGGTGATAAAAATGTTTTAAAATTAGATTTAAGGTGATGGTTCAAAACTTGGTAAGTGTGCTAAAAACCACTGAGCTGAACACTTTAAATGGGAGAGCTCTCTGGTATGTAAATTATGTATCAATAAAACTGTGGAAGATACATAAAAGCAATAAAAATGTTATATGCTACCTCAGTAGGATTTTTCAGTGTGTGCACCGGCTCTGGGTTTGCAGATATTCCTGCATACATTAATATCATGACGGTCATTATCCTAAGCGCATGTTTACTGAAGGTGCGCTGTGAGCACAGGACAGAGGCGGTTATTTACCTTACGCTCTCCCTCCACCTGATTTCTTTGTCCTGAGGAGGGTGAAAGGGCATCAGCTGTGTGTGTGGCCTGGAGGGTGGTCTGTGTGTGGTCGCAGAGAACTTCCCTCCACACAGAAAACAGACTCAGCTCTACTTTTGGATACCTCTGTTCCCTGACCTGCCTCCAGAGTCCCTTCTAACTTGCATCAGTTGCAGGAAAATGGTGGGCCTGGTGATCTTAAGCGTGGGTGGCATTTTCGAATCTTTGGTGAGAACTCTGCCATGCTGTATTTTTATCACCTGAAACAACCTGGAAACTGCCACTGAAATTATATGCACGGGCCTGGAAAGATTACGATAATTTCACAACATGAGAGAGCCATTAAGCACGGGGTCTGGCCCATAGCAAGCACTCCACTAATGTAAACCTCGACTGCACTTCCCAACCCTACAGTCCAGGGCAGGGACAGCCATGCTTTCCCAAGGCGCCCTGCAGTTTGTAGTAAATCTGATGGTTAAGGCCATGGGACCCATTCCTGCCTGCCCTGCGTTTCTATACCACGTGCAACCATTCAGGTCAGGAGATGGATCACCAGGGAGACTGTGGTAGATCTCCAAAGACAGGAGCCATCTATTCCTTTCCGCACTCGGCTCCTCTCATCAACAGGTGGAGGCCACCTGCCCTCCCCTGGAATCCAGCCTGGCCTTTGCCTTGCTCTGACCAATGCAACATGGCAGAAGAGACACTGTGTGGATTCAGGTCGTGCTAATGTCCGCTCCATACTTCTTGAGGATAAAGCAAGACCCTGCAATATCAGACGTGGAACGCTGGTGGGTCGCATTGCCAAAGCAGCCAAGAACTGCGGGGCCTCGGGGCAAATTTCAGTTCTGAGTGAGACGGGAAAGGTACTGCCTGCCCCGAAGACGAGGCAGGCGCTTAAATCTGGGTGTGGTTCCTTATCGCGCCGCAGAATTATGAAGTTACATCAAGGTATCGCCAAATAAGGTTTTAGGAAAAGGCTAGATAGAAATGAGACGTGCACTGTATTTTTAGATGCAGAATAGGATTTTTAAGATGGAAGTGATAATTTAGTTTCACATCCTCGATTTTATGCATAAGGGTGCTGAGGCCTGAGGGAAATGAAATATTTTGCCTCAAAACCACACGCGCTTGGTAACAGGTCGGGGACTAGAATCCCAGCCTCTCCTAATTCTAGCCCAATGTTCTTTCCACTACATTTACTTTTAATACTAAACAGGGAGAGGGTGTTTTTGTTAGAGCCAGATGCCAAAGAAGCAATTAACAGTTGGGCTTTTTACGGCAACAGTGTGCTGATTTTTTGCAAGTCTGGAGTCCTATCTGCAGCTGCTGATTTCATCTAGGAAATCTCAGACGTGGCCACATTTAGGAATTCACGTTCAAAGAGCTGAAGGGCGGTAAGGGGGAAGGACTGACCAGAGAGATCCTTTAATCAAAATTCAGGATCAGAAATGAACATCCAACTGAATGCCTTTGAATTAAGATGAGGGGGGGGGAAATCTAACCCTTGGGTCTTACCTGAAATATTCTGGTTGCAAACTTGTCTCCTTTTTCCCATTCAGAGCCCATCGCCCCTAATCCTGGCCCCCACCCCCCAACCCCAATACCCATTTCTCTTGAAATAATTTTCAACTCCCACTGTCCCACTTGAATTTGTGAGCATAAATATCTAAATTGTCCATTTGCATATCCGTGGACCTTCCTTATAACCTTAAAATTTTTATTTTCATTTTTAAAATATATGGTTTGTGTATCTACAGCTATTACAATATCTTAGTCCTGATTCAAACTCTGTCATATCACTTACAAACATTATAAAAGAACTGGGTTGTTTCACATTTTAAACTTCCATTTCCAGGTTTCCTTATTTTAAAATGAGGTTTATAAACCTCCACCTTTATCTCTGATGCTACAAATCCCCTGGACCTTCCCATACTTTGGTTTCAGGGTTTGGCTTATTTTAAAAGGACATAAAAGTTTGACGTTAGTGTGACCGAGAGATTACACATCTTCAACCTCCTGGATCCCAGCCCAGTGTAATCAGAAAATATGATGTAAGTTCTCTGCAGTGGGGCGCAGGTGACTCCCTAAAAGATATGTTCCAGTTCTCAACGCCAGTAACTACGGGTGTGATTTTATTTGGGAAAAAAGGTCTTTGCAGATGTAATAAAGCTAAGGATCTCGAAATGAGATCACCCTAGATTAAGAGTGTGGGCCGTGCCCTGCCGGGTGTGGCTCAGCGGTTGAGCATCAACCCAGGATCCAGGAGATCGAGGTTCGATTCCCGGTCAGGGCACATGCCCGGGTTGCGGGCTCGATCCCCAGTCGGGGGCGTGGAGGAGGCAGCCGATCAATGACTCTCTCATCATTGATGTTTCTCTCTCTCCTTCCTCTCTGAAATCAATAAAGATAAATTTAAAATAAAAAGAGTGCAAGCCGTAAGTCCAATGACAAGTGTCTTTATCAGAAACAGAAACGGAGAAGATAACACAGAGAAGAGGCCCCATGACGCTGGAGACAGAGACTGAAGCTATACAGCCACAAACCAAGGAGAGCTCCTGGAGGCCCCCGAAGCTGGAAGAGGCGAGAATGGTTTCTCTTCTAGAGCGCTCACCTTGATTTGGGGCTTCTGGCCTCCAGAACCGCGAGAGAAACTGCTGGGGGTGAGGGTCAAGGCTGGCCCTCCACCCTTGTGCTTGTCACGTAACTGGTCTTGGTGGGGTCCCCAAGTGACCTGAATGCACAGCCAAGATTAAGCCACTGCTCCAAGATACAATATCATCTCAGGGCAGCCTGACTCCGGGACCTGGACTCCCAAACCTTACACCCTGTGGACAGGAACGGTCCCACCTGAAATGCTGGTACCATCTGCCGGAGGAGAGCCAGTCTCCTCATCTGCAGGAGGGTGTCAGTGCTGACTCCCTTGTGCGGCTGCTGCAAGGCTTCAACTGGGTAACGTAGGCAAAGTCCCCGGTCCAGCACCCAACAGAGGATGTGTGATAGACAGGAGACATCCCAGGGAGATAAGAAGCATCCTCTAGAGATACTGTAAAGCAATTTCCTCAAATCTCATTAAGCCCCTCAAAAGTAGGCAGCGGGAATGTCCGAAGAGCTGCAGGATGGTTATTACTTTGTTGTTATCCTGTGGTCGAGTGAACAGAAAAATGCCTATGAGTGCAACAGAAACAAGACCGCCAACCATCACGCAGGTGTCCCTGTGCCAGGGAAGGGCTGGTGGGCACTCCCATTTCCCAGGAACTGTCGCCTGCTAGTGTCTGTGAGAACGGCGGCAGAAGAAATCCCAAGAGAAGGTTTTTTTTTTTAACGCTCACCCAAGGATATTTTTTCCATTGCTTTTCAGAGGGAGAGGGAGGGAGGGAGGGAGAGGGAGAGACAGAAACACCGACATGAGAGAGACACATTGACTGGTTGCTTCCCGCACACACCCCGACCAGGGCTGGGGATTGAGCCTGCAACCAGGTATAGGCCCTTGGCCAGAATCGAACCTGGGATCCTATAGTCTGCCGGCCGACACTCTAACCACTGAACAAAACAGGCTAGGGCCCGAGAGAAGAGTTTTTGCTTTTTGGATGCTATGACTAGGTTCTGGGCCAAGGACAAGGGACAGTCTCCAGCCTCAGGACCAATTCCTTCCTCTCTGTCTCACGTTTCCATGGCAGGTTCCAAGATGACGAAGCAGGGAACAAAGTAGATTGCCCTACCACAGGCTGCTCCCTTAAGGATTTCACTGGGGCTCTGTAGCCACAGGGGGGCACGTGCAGGAGCCAAGGTGGGCACTTCCCTGGTGGGTGAACACACTGGGCGGCTGCCTGCCTATAGCACGATGGGTCAGTCTTGAAGTCAGACAGGTTCTGAGCATCGTAGGGGTTTCTTAAGAGCTTTCCTCTTGAAGGGTCAAGAGCTACACACTGACAAGTGCAATCCTTTGCTTCCAAAAGCCTTCCTTCTATGCAAGGGTGGGTGTCTTTCCCTTATTGGGGAAACAGTATTCAGTTGCTAGGGCTGCAGTAACCAAGTACCACCAAAGGGGTGTCTCAAACAACAGAAATTTATTGTCTCACCCGTCTGGAGCCTCCCAGTCTGAGATCAAGGTGTGGGCAGGGCTGGCGCCCTCTGAGGGTAATAAATAATTTATTTCTTGCCTCTGCTAGGATCAGGTGCTTTGGTTTGCTGGCAGTTTTGGCATTCCTTGGCTTATAGATGCACACGTCATATGGTGTTTCCTCTGTGCACGCCTACATCTTTGTCTAAATTTCTCCCTTTTATCAGGACACCAGTCATTCTGGATAAGGGCCCTCTCGACCTCATTTTAATTCGATTACCCCTGTAAAGACCCACTTTCCAAATAAGGTCACACTCTCAGGTACTAGGGGTCGTGAGGTGCTGAGCCCCACACTCTGCAGCTGTAGCTGGGTCCCCGGGGCGATGCGGAATTCTCTGAAAGCCATTC